GCCCCGCCCCCCGCCCCCCCCCCCCAGCCAAGCCTCTGCCCTCGGAAGAGGTGGGGATGGCACAGACGGCCCGTGCAGCTCAGCTGCAGCCCGTGGCTGGGGGCCCCACGGCTGGCCCTGGGCCAGGGCACTGCTGCAGCCAGTGACATGGGAGCCGCGCTGGGGCCTCGCGTCCACCCACAACCCACCAGGCCACTCCAGGGCCCGAGGCTGCCGGAGGGGCGGGGCCGCTGGCCCCTGCGGTGCTGCCGGGGGAGGTGTGGGGTCCTACACTGGGAGGGGGGACACTCACCTGGCTGTGGGCGACCCGAAGGCCCCGCTCCAGGCTCTGCACCCGGCTCAGCACTGCCTCATGCTTCTCCCGGCACAGGCTGAAGCTGCCCTCGGCCACAGCCAAACGCTCCTGTGCTGCCTGCAGCTGCTCCTGCCGCCGCGCCAGCTCCTGCGCCTGCTGCTGCACCTGTGGGTGCCACATGGTCGGGGTGGGGGCCGCATGCATTGCCATACGGTGCCCAGTCCGGTCTCAGCCTGCCCGGGCACAAGCCCCGCTCCCTCCCAGGGCCCACCTCCTCCTGCAGCACCCGGCACTGCTGCAGCTGGTGCTCCAGGTCCCGGCCCTGTGCCACCATCACGGCCTCCTGCTGCCGCAGCTGCCCCCGCGCCTCCTTCTGCTGCCCCTTGCAGGCGTCCAGCTCTTGCCGCAGGCCCTGCAGCTCGGCCTGGCGGCTCTCCCGGCTCAGTCGCAGCTCTGCCTGCAGCTGCTCCAGCAGTAGCGCCCGTGTCCGGCCCTGGGGGGCAGAGCGGATGGCTGTCAGCATGGGGGGTGGCCACGGGCACTGCTCCCTGTCCATGCCACCTGGCACTGCTCAGCCCAGCTGCCGCCTGGCACAAGATGGGGTTGGAGCCCATGAGATGGGGCGGGAGACATCACCAGGTGTCTATGAGCACCGGCCCGATGGAGAGGCAACGTGAGCAGGGCAGGGAGCGAAGTGGTGCTGCAGTGTGCTGCTGTCAAGCCCGATCTGGGGGCTCTGCTGACTGCGGTGGGGGAGGAAAGTGCCAAGCCCTGACCGTGCCTGGTCTCCTCTGTGTGGAAAGCAGAGAAGCGAGGGCCCCACAGCTGCCTGTCTGCCAGGGCAGAGCCTGTCGCCTGCCCTAGGCCCCAGCACCTCGCTCCGGGGCTTCCCACCTCGCCCTCGGCTCGTGCCAGCTCCTCCTCGGCAGCTCCCAGGTGTCTCTTGAGCGTTGCAACGATCTGGCCGCGGCTGCGCGCCTGCAAAAGCCCATGGCGCCAACTCCAGAGATGCTGCTCAGCTCATGGGGGTCGATGAGGGGAACAACTTGCCTTCCCGGCCGCGCTAGCAAGGGCAGCCTGGGCCGCGGGGGGAGCACCATGCTCTGCCATAGCCGGGAAGGAGGGGGCAGCTAAGTCCTGGGGTCTCAGCCTGGCTAGGACAGCAGGCACCAGGCACGGGCTGGCAGACAGGAGGCTGGATGGGGCCCCAGTGCGAGTGCAGCTGCTGGAGCAGGCCACGGCCAAGGCGAAGCTGATGGGCCGAGCAAATGGGAGTGGGCAGGAAGAGGCAGCAAGGACCGGCCCCCCCGTGCTGGCACAGGGGAGAGGCTCCCTGCCCGGTGGCCGTGCAGGCAGCACAGGTACCTCACTCTGCAGCGCCTCCAGCTGCTGGTGCAGCGCCTGCGCCTCCCGCCGCGCGTCCCGCAGCTGCTGCTCCTGGGCCTGGGCGCTGCCCTTGGCAGCCACCTGCGACGCCACCAGCTCATCTTGCAGCCGCTGCACCGTGTCCTCGCAGCGCCGTGCTTGCCGCAGGCACGTGGGGCAGGGGTCAGCTGACGGAGCAGCCTGCACCCCTGCGCTGCCAGAGCCGAGCCGAGCCGAGCCTGCCCTGCAGCACCGGGGCCAACAGCCCCATGGCCCGCGATCCCTGCCACCCAGGGACGGATACGTGCCTTCTGCTCTGCAGCCTGGGCCTCGGCCGCTGCCTTCTGCAGGTCCCGGGTCAGCACCTGCCCCTGGTCCTCCGCGCGGCGCAGCTGCAGCAGACACCAGTGCATGGCGAGGAGGGGCCCGGGCTGAGCCAAGCGCCCTCCCTAACCCTCCCACTGCCCCAGGTGAGCTCAGCACAGACCGCCCGAGGCCACG